TTAGACATTCAAATGGTGAAATGGATTATGAAAAGATGCAATTCAAAAAGATAAATAAATTGAACACGTTTGATGCAAATTATAATAAAAATAATAGTAATAATCCTTGCAATTTGATAGCGTGCCTTTAATGTCAGAAGGACATCCCAAAGTGATGTGTATTTTTGTAGACAATACAGCCACAGTCCACAAGCAGCCATAAAGCAAAATTGTACATTTTTCTTTTCAGAACTGGACCTCTTGTTATCCTAAACTTTAAAATCAGTTTGAAATATTTTGTTAGGTTTTCTTCTTAGCGGGTTTTATTACATATAAATTTAAGATAATTCTTTCACGTCTTCCTGACATGAAAGCCGCTGTATCAAATGCAAGGATTATTATTATAATTGGCATCAAACCAGTCTCACTGCTCCTGTGTGTAGCCAGCCAGCTTGCTCCCTGTGTGCTAGCTGGTTGCTGCGTTAAGCTCCTAGACGCGACCCTGTGTGAAAGACGCTATATAAATGCAAGTTGTTGTTGGGTTAAAAAAGACTTATCATGTCACCAGTGAGATTACTTCCTGCCTTGCACACCGGAGATGATGTCAGCACAGACCTAGTGACCCAGAAATCAACTCTTTTAGGATGAGAGCCAGCCAGTGAGCAGAAAGCAAGCGTACTGGCTCTGCGCACATGCGGGGAACGGGGTTCAGAGTACAACCAGGTTATAACATAAAGAAGTGGGTTAAAACAACAATGCAGCTGCGATGCATATGTGACAGCTTCAATGGGCATTACAAGACACTCCTATGCTTTTCTCTACACTTGACCCTCGGAAGCAATGGACTCCCATGGGATTAAGCAGACAATCACTCTGCAGGATTCAATTTAGGGTCATGTTATCTGTGCTGATGTTGTACAGCGGTGAGCGGTAGCACTTCCAGGATGAATAATCTATTTGAACTGAGGCCTACTGCATTGATGGACGAGCTACAAATATGCCAGCACTCAATACACCTTAGTGCATCAGCCCCCCCAAGTGCTGTGACAAAACAGTTTGTTTATGGGTGTCACCATGTCACTTCTGCAGCAACCCCTCCCTGGATGTGTCTAATGGGATGCACTGAAAGATGGTTCTGTCAAAGTAGCACAGACCCTCATTTTTCTTTTGTGTTCCACAAGGTCCATCATTTGTAGCCTACCCTGATTGTGATTAGTTGTCTTAGTGATGGTTTTGACACTGCAATTGAGAAATGAACTATTACTGTTATTCATCTTGCTGACTAATGTCTCTCTCTCTCTCTCTCACACACATACACACCAAAATCTGTAAGCACCAGGGGCTTCAGACAAACGTGACCCACTTTATTACAACTAAGATTATCAGGAATGTACATGGAGTCCTGTAACATAGTGGTTAGAGCACTCTCCTTGCAAGCAAGAGGACCCAGGTTCAATTCCAGGACAAGGTGAAATCTTAGGCAAGTTTCATTACTCCGCCTGTTGTTAGTCAATTGGCGGATCACTTTCAGTGGATAATAATCCTTAAAAAAAATAATCTGGTCACTCAATCCATGACTGTTTGTGGGACACTGCTGAGCACAATTACCTGCTGCATTTCGCCTACATAATATACAGTCAATTTATTTTACAGTATATTCTGCAAAGCGTTTTGAGACGTCTCGATGATGTGATAAAGTGCTAATAAAATGCAAGGATTATTATTATTATTATGGTTATTGACCAAAGCTATCTAATCCTGTATTTACCTAATGTCCATGCAGGGACAGTTCCACTAGGAGATCAATGAACAGGCATTGAAACAGATTTGAGCTATGCTGAGGTTAACTGTTTGCTCCTTATCAACACCCAAGCTGCGATCAGCTAACTCAGCCCAGACCAGGGATTAAAACCTGGGACCTTTAGGCTTATGTGGCAACCATAAGCCCCTCATTAAGAAGGATCATTTAACTCCAGACCGACCAGAGAATGAACCTCAGACTGCTGGGTATGTGGTAGTATCTCACAATGGAGCCTCGTTTTATTGCATTGGTTGCAATCCATAAAATACCTCTTGCGAGGCATGATAGCCGGTCTCACTATGCAAGAAGGCAGCCGCCCAGCTTGCTCCCTGGCACGCCAGCTGGTTCCTGCGTATTATAAACAAAGTTGTGCTATTAGGGAGCACATTCTAAAGGGGCTGCACTGTACCAACCAGTGCTTTTTGCCACAGAAAGGCTCTAGTCGTGTCATTTTCACCCAATATTTGAGCGCGATAACTTTTTTTCAATAAAGATTATTTTTTGCAATTTATGACTCATTCTTCCCCTAGCAGATTGAGCAGAGTAAATGATGTAGCAGATTTCAAGGAGCGTTCACTCTCAACCACTGATGGAGTGTGGCAAAAAAGGACAAAGTAACCTTTTATTGGTTAGCTCCATCTTGCTCAGTCAGGTTCTGGCAATGACCTTCGCTACAAATGCTCATAGTCTAAATTGACGTTCCAGTGCAGTTCTGGAGAAGTGCTGCATTGTTGGTACAGTCATCTGGATGAGACACTAAACTGAGGTCCCATCTGCTTGTTCAGGTGGACGTTAAAAATTCTGAGGCACAATTTGAAAATACCTCATGTTGTCCCAGCCAACAATACCCCACATACAACTCGACACTTAATTCATGGCTGTATACAAGTCATTGCTGGGTGCAAATTGGCTCCTGCATTCGCCTACAAATACATAGTCACTATACTTTATGTGATTCCAAGTCCCTAAGTGGAGCTTGACCCAACAACTTTCTAACCCAGAGGCGAGAGTGATATCACTGGAGCAGACTGACAAGTTTATCTTATTTTCCAAACGGTATTTTTAAAGTTATTTCAGCCTGTGAATCTCTCATTTTATCACCCTGGGAAATCCTGGATGATGTGAAAAATACTTGTAATTTACTGGAAAAACATGTTAGTAATTTGGCATTTCTTTACATCTGCTGCATCATGGCAGGAAAATAGCAGTCACACAGATTCTGTTTCTAGAATGTGGTACATTGTAGGAACGCATTGAGAAAACGGGATTCCTCACACTGTGAATCCTGTTCCCAGTCAGGAGGCGTGTCGGGAGGAACTTCCTACATGGAGGAAATTAGAAATTAGCTTTGGATTTATCCTCACCAGCAAAAATGTAGTTGCTTTTGGTTTACTAATATAATAATAGTTACATTTGATATAGCCCCTTATCACTTTGAGCCTCAAAATACTTGATTTTACTGTAAAGTGTAATGACTATGTATTTTCGCCCACAAAACACACGATCAATTCAGTTTACAATATATTCTGTGAAGCGCTTTGAGACGTCTCAATAACTTGAGATGCTCTATCAAATGCAATGATTATTATTATATTATTACTTTGTTGGCGATACAGTAGCCGCAGCAATGTCCCACAAACACCCATGAAGCGAATGACCAATTTTATTGTACTTCATTTTGTTAAGCGTCTTATATACCGTTAAAAGGTTACTTAATGAGATGACACTTTGAGGCAGAAGAGCCCAAAGTTATCTGGTCAATCCTCATAATTCATCTCTGTAATACTACAGATCAACCATTTGTGTACTTCTCTGAAGTGCTTCTTTTTATGATCATACCTGTTATGAGGTGACAACCAGATGTCTACACAGCTCTCCAGGTGTGGACAAACATGTCATGTTGGAGCCAGCTCAGAGAAGCTCTCACAAATAATTTGACCAGCTAATTAAATTTATAATCAATTTATTCTGAAAATAAGACACCAGGATATTAAAATATCCAGACAGCAATATTAAAATATCCAGCAACTGTTCCTTGCTGCTGCATCAAAGTTGTGGGATGATAAATAGGTGTACAAAAAGGCTACATCTTTTGAGCCTCAAAGGGACATATTTCAATTTCACAAAGAATAATTTCAAGACTAAAAAAAAATTCCACCTTTGTGAGGAATTGTTGTTTCCTAAAATCTGTGCTCACAAATCACGCGCCTGTTATTTTTTGTTCTGCCAGCAAAGGAACTCCAGGTAGAGAATCATTTGTCAACAACTGCAGCTTGTTTCCACTTGAAACTCTCAGCTTCATCTGATAATGAAGAGCTTCTTAATTCCAGCAAACATGTTTGAGACTCACTGCCAACCATCTCAAACCGTCCGTCACATGTTGATCGCATGATGCTGAGCTCCAGCCCAGGGCTAGAGACGGTGTAGAGGAGCACTCACAGAGGGAGAAGATGTTCTCCCTGGCAACCGCTGACAGGTTACATGTGACAGTCTGAAGAACATGTACTTCCAGATTGTGGTCTGCCATTTGGAAATCCCTGATCTATGCTACGATTTTCACACAGAACTTACACTGCTGCGGGCATAAAATAAATGTGGCACAAAAACTGTGGTGTTGCAAGATGGCAACCCGGGCAGTGGGACATTGTGGGACATTGCTGTGCGCAAATTGGTTGCCACTTTCGCCTACAAAACCATGCAGTGACTTCTCTTAGGTAAGCAGGATACGTCCTTCTAGGGAGAGAGCACACATTCCAATCCAACAATCTATCTCTGGAATTTGTGGATGAAATGCATGTAATTCTCAGTTTGGTTTGGATACTCTTAACCATGGCGATGGGTTACTGCTTGGACACCTAGCTGACCCCCCCAAAAAAAAATCACTATACAGTAATTCCTGTGAAGCGATTTTAGACGTCCTCTCAACACGAAAGGTGCTGTATCAAATGCGAGGATTACAAATAGTTAAAAAAAAGAGACTTAAAAACTGGAACAGGTTTTAATCCCTGTTCAATTCAGAGTTTTAATAAGTGTGAAGTTCTGTGTTGTAGCACTCATTCTATGGGAAAACGATTAACTCACCCGGAAATAATCAAAATGAGGTGCTAACTGATTTACTGGATTGCTTTGCGCATACCTAACAGAGAAAAATAATTAAAAAAAACAGAAAGACAGGGAGGTTCACATTTCACAATAAGTATTAAAAACAAGCAGTACTTACCATAGATACCAGTGGATATACAAGGGAATGCCTGCAATTAAAAAAAAGATTGAAGTTTAACCACACAAAAAAAAATCAAAAATTGCCACGAATCTAATCTGATTAAGGGATTAGTGAACATTTCAGAAAAGTACATTGTCTTTTGGGCAGATTAGGGAATGGAAACACAATAGCAACCAATGCAAATCTTTGTACTTATGTGAAGATCTTGTTTTATGTTTGAAATAAATCAAATACTCCACATACTTTTGTGAAACTTAAACCATCGATTTTACTTTCTTTGAACTCACACTAGACATGTAAGAAACAGCAGTGTTCAAATGCCCGGATCAGTAAATGTTTAACTTACTGGAAAAATAATAGACCGACCTCACAGAAAGCAGTTACGGTACAGTACGTGAGATAAGGCTTGGCTTTGATACAATGCTTTATCACATCATCAAAATGAAGTATTTCATAGGATTTTTTTTAATAAGTATATTTGTTGGCGAATGCGGCAGCCAAACTGTACAGCAACATCTCACAAACAGACAATAGGACACATTTTTAGCTGGAGGAAATCTGGTCTGGAAATTAGAAAAAATGTCTTCTCTTTTTGAATAGTGCCATGGGATTTTTAACCTCCTGAACAGGCAGACAGGACCTCAGTTTACCATCAGCCTAGACTATGACCTCAAATTCACGATGTGGGGCTCGAACCTATAATCATCTGACTCAGAGGCACAAGTGCTACCAACTAGACACCTAAATAAAGACCCCATGGCACTTCCTGGTGCTATCTGCTTGCATGACAACATTCACTCTAGTTCAATGCAACTCTGTTTTAAGAACTTTCAGATGAGAACATAAGAATTAGGAGCAGGAGTAGGCCATTCGGCCCCTCGAGCTGCCCCGCCATTCGATAAGATCGTGGCTGATCTTCAGACCTAACTCTAATTACCTGCCCTATCCCCATATCCCCTAATCCCTCTGTTTTTAAAAAATCTATCAGTCTCAGCCTTGAAGATGTTCAAGGACTGAGCATCTACAGCCTTCTGGGGTAGTGAAGTCCATCAATTCACTACCCTCTGAGTGAAGAAATGTTTCCTCAACTCTGTTCTAAAAGGCTGACCCTTAATTTTAAGACTGTGACCCCTGGTTATAGATTCTCCTACCCGGGGAAACAGACCCTCAGTGGCTGCTTTACTCAGCCCTTTAAGAATCTTATATGTTTCAATAAGATCTCCCCTAATTCTTCTGCACTCTAGACAATACAGCCCTGGTTTATTCAGCCTATCCTCATAGGTCAGTCCCCTCATCCCAGGAACCAACCTAGTGAATCTACGCTGCACCCCCTCCAGGGCAAGTATGTCCTTTTTTAAATAAGGAGACCAAAACTGCACACAATACTCTAGGTGCGGTCTCACCGAGGCCCTATACAGTTGCAGCAAGACTTCCCTACTCTTGTACTCTAAACCGTTTGCAATGAACGCTAACATACCGTTCGCCTTCTTAGTTGCTTGCTGCACCTGCAAACTAACCTTTTGAGACTGGTGTACAAGGACACCCAAATCCATCTGCACACTAACGCTATCTAATCTCTCCCCCTCTAGAAAATAATCTGTTTTTCTATTTTTCTACCTAGGTGAATAACTTCACACTTCTCCACATTAAATTCCATCTGCCACCTACTCGCCCACTCCCCTGGCCTATCTATATCCCGTTGCAATCTTTTTGCATCATCCTCAGAACTTACTCTCCCACGTACTTTAGTGTCATCCGCAAATTTAGATACGTTACATTCAATGTCCTCATCTAGATCATTGATGCTTGATTTATTCCGACATGATAAGAAGCTATATTAAATACAAGTATGTTAGTTATTTACTTATTTCTAGATCATGATTCATTTTTTGTTTGCGTCCTTATCTTTGGTCTCAGTCCCACTCTGTGACCAGTACTTGAGAACAATCTGAAAATTTTGAAACTGGCTTTGGGGGTGGATACTAATTACACCTCTTTGCCAGAGAGTGGCCTAAAATCCTGCAATATTATTCAAAAAGAGAAGAGTGTTTCTCCCAGTGTTCCGGGCATAATTCTCCACATAAAATTAGTCTTCGCTTCATGACTGGAGAGGGATATTGACGCTGTCTGGTGTGAAGGGTGCTATATAATTGCAAATTGTTACTGTTATATTGCTGGATTTGCATACAAATAATAGTCGCACTCCATTTTGCAGTGGTATCCTGCAAAGCACTTAGAGACATTCCAATGATGTAATAAGGCGCTATATCAAATGCAAGGATTAATATTAAGGTGTCAACCTGGCTCAGTTCGTAGCACCCTCACCTCTGCGTCAGTGTGTGCAACAATTCCCCCCAAGTAAACTTAGTTACTCACTTTATGGCTATTTGTGGGACGCTGCTGTGCGCAAATTCGCCTACAAAATCTAGTTTACAGCGTATCCTTTGAGACATCCTCCTAACGTGAAAAGGCGCTTGAACTTACAACCTTCTGACTCAGAGGTGGGAATGCTACCAACCAAGCCAGGCAGACATGATGATTTCACATGATGAGGCATCACATCAATGCAAGTATTTTATGATGACTGAAGTAGCATCGAGCTGAATACCGCCCTGCATTTGATGGATATTTTACTAATATTTTACTAATCAAACTCATGCTGTGAAGCCCATCAAGACTTTTCTGTTTTGTAAAAGGCACTATATCAATGTAAGATGCTGTTAAGCATGGGATCTTAATGGTGTAGTGAATCACAGCAGCGAAACAGTGCTGTATAATAATCATCTTTATACTTGATATAGTGCCTTTCATGTTTGGAGGACGTCTCAAAGCGCTTTACATACTACACTAGCTTGTACGATATGAATGACCAATTTTATCTGGAGGATTGTGAGTCAGGACACCAAGGAAACTCCGTTCTCTTTTCAAATAGAGCCGCAGGATCTTTAATTTTAGGAATAAAAATAAGCTCCGATAACACTGGGTTTGAAAAGTTGTGTACTATAACATTGGGTAGGATTTTGGCTCTCAGCCACGACGCTGTTAGGAAGTACCAGGCAGAGAAAGAGCTGCTTGTTTAGGCAAAAATTTTCGTGAAAAAAATGAGGTTGCAATGCAGTGTAATATATTGCATGCTTGTGAGCATCATTTTAAATTGATCTTTTTAATGCGTTAATATATATTGCACAATTATAAGGAAACCCACACTTTTACTTTGGAAGCCGTTTGACACATAAACCACTCATATCAGTTGCTCTGTTCAAGTGATTTCAGTTTGATTGTCACAGTTTGTCAAAACCATTAAAGAAACAAAGCTCTCAAGCCGTTATAAATCATAATGAATATGAAACACTGAAGTACATTTAATCTTACAATGTATCGTATATCAACCCAAACTGCTCCAACTTTCAACAAAGCAACATTCTTTTTTGTCTCCCGTAAATCACTTGTGGTCATACAATCTCGACCAAAGAGGGTTGAGGCGTGCTGTGAGCATTCAGTCATCCCTGCATTGCAACCACAGAAAATCTTTTTTCAAGAAAATCTTTGCCTTAAACAGGCAAATAAGCATGTTTTGTTTCAAATAAACGTTCATCACATACATCGCATTGACCTTTTAAAGATCAGGTCAACTTAATGTGGCATTTTTGAGATTCTCGCTGTAAACCTTTGCCAAATTGAAATAATCTTGGAAAAAGTTAAAATGATTCCAGTAGAAACAGCTAATACTGCTTTACTAGCGTCAGATAGACCACTGAACATTTCCTAGTGATATAAAGTTCATTTCATCCAACTAATAATAATAATTTGCTCACTCAATCCACGACTGTTGTGTTGGACACTGCTGTGCACAATTAGCTGCCAAGTTTCGCCCCCAAAACGTACAATCAATTCACTTTACAGTATGTTCTGTGAAGCGCTATGAGACGTCTAGAAGACGTGATTAGGCGCTATATCAAATATATCAAAGGATTATTATTATTATTATTATCAGAGCTTCTCAATAGCCACCACCTTGGAGATTTAACCCAGGCAATAAGAGGTTCTATGTGGGGGTTATAGAGTTACATTAAGTAATACAGCACGGAAACAGACTATTTAGCCCAACTAATCTGTGGCGGTGTTCATACTCAATATGAGTGACTTTTGTGAGCGAATATGGAGGTCAATCTGCACACAATGTCCCACAATCAGCCTTGAAATGAAAATCATGAGCCATCTGCACTTGATATTTGCTATTCTGTCACATAATAATTATGGGACCCAATATTAAGTACTGTAATTGGCCACGGCTGAAATGCTCAGTTACATTGTGTTAAGGGAAGTGAGTATCATGTCAGGATACAGACCTTGGATCCGAATTTGAATCATTGAGACTTATGGAATGAGGGTTTCTACTCTATGTTGTTTACAGGAGTCTTACATGAAACAATCTTGGACAGTCTCAATCCAGTTCCATCATACAAACTGCCCCCAGTTCAGCGACATTTGGCATTCTCATTCAGAGACGTCACAATGATGGGTGATGTGGGAAATGGAAATGTCACACTGATGCATCACACAGTGGCCCGACAATAATATTCGAGCATACTAGGAGAGAAATTCCACCTGGGTCTAGATTTATTCTATTCATGGAGCATTTCACAAAGGGCTCGCTGTTGGATTCACTTTTGACTTTGAAGCTGGATTTCAATGGTTCTTAAAAGTTACTTTGAGAAAACCGGTTCAAAATTAAGACTTATTTCAGAATTTGCCAAATTCTGGATCCCCTGAATAATAATAATAATAATAATCCTTGCATTTGATATAGCGCTTTTCACATCGGGAGGATGTCCCAAAGCGCTTCACAGAACACACTGTAAAGTGAATTGACTGTATATTTGTGGGCGAACGCGGCAGCCAATTGCGCACAGTAATGTCCCACAAACAGACGTAGATTGAAAATGACCAATTTATTATTGTTTTGGTTTTGGAGGGATTATTATTAGGCTCTGTGTGGAGTAAGGAAACTTGCCCAAGGTTTCGCCC